TTGAATTTATTGAAAAACCGGTGCGTGTGCCAAAACAACTGCAAATTTACCAAGGACAATCTGCCGAATCAACTATTGCCTCATAGAAATTGAAAGCGAATAATCTAATTGTTAATTGGTAACTTATTCATGTAACAGAAAGAAATGATATTAAGTGGGTCCATGCTATATATAAAGGTCAGAGCATATCACGAGTAGATTAAATAGAAATCTACGACAACTTCTACCCAAAAAGGGCACATCAGAGAACGCGGCACAGTTGATAACCATTGGGAAACTTTTTTCATCTGATGCCTGCTCTTAGCTATGTGTACGGATTATGTTTAAGTTTGTCTCTTAGTTTATCCTTTAAAATGTCTTTCTATATAACCCATCCTGTACTTGTCTACATACTGAGACATTCAACCAGACACATAAACAAATCTTGCCCAAATCTATAAACTTCAAAGGTCTTGTTTCATTCCTATCATGGAGAAATTACTGCTTTGAGATTTACAATAGAAAGGAAAAAATGTAAGTCAATGTTCAGGGGGCCTCAGAATGGAAGATCAACAAGTACAGAGTCCTCAAACCATGACGATCTGTTGTATGCTTTCAAGTAAATTTTGAATATCGATCGCAGATTTTAAGCAGTTTCCCAGACTTTAGAAAACAAAAATAGTAATGTACAGTATTACTTTGAAGTTGAATTCAACTTTTGGAACGATTGGTAACGCCGCGGCCAATAAAATGACTGTAAAAGTTGGAGAAGTTTTCGGCAAAAACTCAAGCTTTCGCTTTAGCATGAAGAATTAATTTGAACATGCTGATGTGCAGTGAAGCACGTCTGCAAAAATTTTGACCATTTTTTTTTGCTTTGACATAGGTTTCTTCGCCTCMGCATGAATGAAAATTTATTGTTATTGAACTTCCTTTTGCATTGCTTTTTATTTGGTTCCATGTATTTAGGAATTTAGGTTTTAAAAGTGAACAGAAACTTGCATGCTTGATTTCTGCATATTTAATTTACAGCGACCTCCACGCATTTATTCGGTTTCGTTCAAATATATTTTTGGAGTCTTATTCAGCTACTACAGAACTGCTGAGAAAAGAACTAAGTGGCCACCAATTTAACATAGTTGAAATACGATTGATCTCAAAATAATTGGCCTATTTTTATCGTGTTTTTTAATTACAACTTTCATCTTTCTTTCGCTGCACTGTAATATTTCGTCACGCAGTGAAGAAATTATTTCATTTCTTGTTTTCAAATTGGTTTTAACTTGTGTCTTTCGCTTTTATTTTCCATTGTTTTCTGAAATGTTGGCTGTTATATGTAATACAAGAATGGAAATTTTTTGTTTCGTCCTCTGAAGTCAATAATTAACTCATTTCATTTCTTGTTTTCTTATCAGTTTTACACATCAGGTTGAGTTTTTTTTGTTGATATTTTTTAAATATTTTGGCCCTTCATTTATTCAACTTTAAATGAGCCATCTTGATCTTGTGTGTGCTAATTTAATATACCAGTTTAAGAATAGTGTGCCAAACACCTCATTTATCATG